CAGAGGCTACTATGACATATATCTGAGGGCAGCTGGGTATACTTTATGGTATAAAACAACACTTCAGTTAGATTATATCTGGCAGTGTTTCCCTGATCAAGTAAGATAAGATAAGATAAGAGAGATAAAAATAAACTGTGGGGCCTCCCTGCTGGCACAAGGGGTTAAGACTCAAGATATGAAGCTATCAACAGCCACTTTAGCATGAGTTGAATCTCCACCCAAGGAACTACCCACATGGCACAACAGACCTCTCCTGACTCACCCACTGCTCCCCTCAGCAGTGTATTTCAGTCAATCTGCCTGTTCTGTTCCCTACTCTGTCTCCGATGAAGTCTCTCACCCTCCCGCACCTCTGGCCTGTACCCCAGTTCTTGTATAAATAAATAAATCTTTAAAAAAAGACTAAAATAAATTAAAAAAAATAATTACTGGCTGAGAGAAGAGTGACAACTTCATGGTAATAATGTTTAAAGTATTTTTTATAAAGCAGTACAAAAAAGGAAGGATATTTTATGACATAAATTGTATCTTAGCTTTCTTCATCTTCTCACTACAAAGTTTCTTACTATATAGCTCAAAAAGTTTGCATTAAAATTGCCACATATAAAAGACTATAAGGAGCAAATCCACCACTCCAAAGTATGCCTCTGGCAAAAGGATTTTTTTTTTCCTTTTTCAGAAGGATTGTTTTACAGGAGGGGCTTTGAAGACTGGGTGAAAGTTGCCCTTTGTAAGACACATTTAGTTGTGTAAAGGAAAATCTCCCTTAATAGGAGTATCTCCATCACTGTACAAGGAGGATCTAATCAAGGCTATGTCCTTCCTGGCTATGCCTTTCCCCACAACCTCTCACAGCTGACATTCCACCCCATTTTAAATAGATTTTTATCAAAATATTTTTTTTTATAAAAGTGAACATTCATTTAGAAAATACAGAAATACAGATTAGCAAAAGAATGAAAGTAAGAATTAACTTGTGGTTTCTGAGGAATGTCTTCTCTTAGTAAGGGTATTTAAGGTAATGACTGAGGCTATGTTGGTGAGTTACAGATAAACTTTTATCTTCATGGAATTTACACATTTTGTGCAGATGGTACAGGTCTGAGACAAATAGTAAACAAAATACACAAGTTAAATATATAGCACCTGAGAAGCTGACAATGTTAATAAAATAATAAATCTGGGTACATTTTGAGCCTGTTAACTTCTATGGAGAATATGAAAAGATTTTTTTTTAAGATAGCTTCTGCTTTTAGCATATATCATAAGATCCAGGTGAAAACTGGAAAAGTGGGTTTGAGGTTCAGGTATGAATATAAGATAGAGGTATAGATTTAGAGGCAAGAAACTCCAAAGTTCTTGAAGTTTCCGGTCCTATCACAATTACTATAGAAAAGATGCAAACCTCTAAGAGTGTTGCAAGAAAAGGAGAAAGAGAGGCCTGGCATTAATGCTATCTCTGGACAAGAGAGGAATGAGAGAAGGAACAAATTCTTCAGATGCTTGCAAGGGAATATTGTCCCTAGGGCAGAGTAAGATTTTTAGATAAGAAATGTGCATCTACATTATGCAGCGTATAGCAGTCAGCCTTGAAGATTTTTCCAATGATTGGGAATAGTGGGCAAAGACAGCCTTCAGCAAAACAGTCTCGTGACTGTTGTTTTCTTACATCACTGAAAAGGAAGTGAAACATCTGTGAGAGGTAAAAATAATGTGAACAAATAAAAAGAAGACTGCTAAAATCAAAAGCCTTTATTTATGGGCTGAGAATAATTTTTTATTTAATAAACTTCACTTTTAGAGCCATTTAAAGTTGCAACAAAAAATGAGCAGAAAGTAGAGAGATTGCCCATATAGCCCCTCCCCCCACACTAGCATCATCTACCCCACCAGCAACCTCCCCCACCAAAAGTGGTGCAGTGGCTACAACTGATAAATCTACGGGGATAAAACCAAAGTCCATGGTTTTCTTTAGGGTTAACATTTGGTGTTGTACATTATATGAGTCTGACAAACATGTAGTACTAATATAGTACTACACAGAGTAGTTTTCCACGCCTAAAAATCCTCTGCGCTCTGCCTTTTCATCCCTCCCTCTCCGTCCTCTGGAAACTACGTTTCTCCATGTTTCGACTCTTCCAAAATGTCTACATCTCCTCCTCAGGAGCAGGGGCAGCCACCTTTTTCTCTTTCCTCTCTCTGCTTTTCCTTCCAAGAACTTTTCTTCTTCTGTGACATGTTCTTTTGTTGGGCTGCAAACTTAATAGCACCAAACGGCACCATCTGCTCATTTCCTTTTGATTAATGTGAATAGCTTATCACTTCAACTAATGACTATTTCGTCCCCTTTCAGTATATTTATGAAAGTTAAATCTCAGGTGAACACTGTATATGTGGGCTTTTAAAAGCACTGTCACCTTGACACAGACTCTGCCTAGGGATCTACACAGCATCCTAGAGAAACAGAAGTGTTAACAATTCAAGCGGCAGAAGGGGGCAGTAAAACTCAACAGAATGCTCTGAAAGAGTTTAAATGGTCTTATTTTCCCTGTATATTTTTATTGGTATTTGCTACAACGAGCAATAAAATACCAATAAAAATATCCGTGCAACAGATAACATATATTTGTCTAAAATAGACACGGAGACACAAAATATATATATATGAGAGGAAATTAGCTTTTACATAATCAAAACCTTATTTTTATGGTGTGATAGATCATGACAAAATAATCACAGAGCTTTTGCACATAAAACATATTTAGCCATCTAGATTTAGTATGAGACATTCAGTGTCACCTCCCTCCATGACTAGCATCCAAAAATATACTATTCATTCCATTTTTATTGCCTCAGACTTGTGAAATCATTTAACAATTAATATCATAATGGTTTCTTCTCAAGTCCACAACTGGACTTTTCTAAACTGTATTAAAATATTATTAGTTAAATAATAATTAAATATTAATAATTAATTTAATGATTAAATATTAAAATATTAATATTTTCTTCTTGAACTCTTTTCCCAGCATCATAGGTACATGGAACAGAATATACAGATTAAACCAAGTAGTTTAACCAAATAGATCTGTTGTATTGTTCTTCTACTATGAGGCAGAGTTTAATTTTCCTAGGTTCCAGGTAGTCTTAATGTGATTATTCTCTATGACCCATTTGTCCTCACCTTCAATTCAGTCAATCTACAAACAAAAGGACATACTTCTATACGTCATACAATTAAGGCCTGACAAGGGGGCTAATGAGGAACAGGATGACTTCAAAGTTAATTCAAAATTACAATGCACAATTTTAAAACACTCTCAGATTCAGAGTATGGATTGTTACATGGCCTCTAAACCAAGCTTGAATTAGGAGTTCTAAATATCGATTTTAAATTGGAGTAGCTACAACCTATTCATGGAAAAAAATCGAATTATTAAAAAGATTTATGTTTTAAAAATTTTGCACTTAGTTGAAATTTCATAAGTCTTTATGTTAGGGGGAAATGATTGGGGCTGCTCTATAACATTTATACTAAATGACCGTGTTTCAATAAGGTGATTTAATATGACCCTCAACTCTTTCTTACTGAGATGCCCCCGCATGTTAGCCTTGCTTGTTGTAGCAGTGTTCAACTGCAAAAAAAAAGAAGTCAATGCAATGATATTACTTTGATCCTGTGACCCCCTCTGGAGTCTTCTTATTGGCTGGCAAATAATCAACATTAGACAAATTGACAAATTAGATAATGTCTAATCAACATTAGACAACATTAGACAAACAATTTTACTGATGGGGAATCTATAGAGGTAGAATGCTTCCAAAGAAAATGAGGCAAAATGGGAGTATATATGCCCTCCTGGACAAAGCAGAAAGGGATGAAGGCTTAGAACTTTAAAGGAAGGAAAAGTAATTCCCAATGTTAGGGGGAAAAGGATGTCCCAAAGCTAATTCCATATAGGCTTTGTGGACTCCACCCCCACCCCAGGTCAAAGTCAAAGACACTGGGAACTCCAAAGCCAATCACCACCAAAGGGAAGGTGGCTGGGACCTGAGGGTGGGGTTAAGCAGCCAGGTGGATATAAAAGGCAGACACGTGGGCTTTGGGGCATCCCCATTTTGGCTCTCTTCCAGCTCACAGCCTCCGGCCCATCTCTGAGAGTGACTTTGGGTTTCCAGGTCTTCGGATCGGGTAGGACGCATTAAAGACTTTATTTCCCTATTTTCTCCCTGAGTTGGACATTTTCCTTATTTCCTTTTCTCTTGTAAATAAACCTTTTATTAACCTTTTGTGTGTGTCTGTAGTAGAGTGTTCATAAGTCCCTTTAAAGCGCGCGGGTGAGGAAACCCGTTTAATATCGGGGCTGCTCTATAACAGCAAGATCACACCTTTCGCACACAAATGTTTGCCTGGCCACGCAGAAGAAAACGAGACAGACAGAAATTGTAGTAAATATATTTTGTGAAGTAGGTAAGGGTAGGCAAGAGGTAAAAAAGCCCTTTCTTTAGTTTTTTGGACTTTAATTGTCTTAAAACAATATCAGCAAAAAGGGGAGAGGAACACAAAGGACTATGGTGATGGTTCACGGGTAAACTGGTAGTGGAAATTTCACGAGGAAAACACAATGATGTAAAAGATATATATATGTTTATTTTTAATATATTTATATATTCTTTTTATATTTAAATATGTATTATATACTTTAAATATATATTATAGATCTCAATATGCAGGGCAAAGTGTCTGTTTTGACGTCAAGTATTCTTTTATTAATTAATTTTTTTTATTTTTTACTTCAGTGTTCATTTTTAAACAAAATTTGCTTCCCCCCCACCCCCGCAGGTATAGCCCCCCCAGGGAATTTCCTTTCCCGAGGCTCCCTTTGCTCCTCCCTCCCCCTTCCCGCCCCCTCCCTGCCCTCCCCTGCGGCTGCCACTTCAAGCATAAAAGGGAGGCTCTCTCCTTAAGCTCCCAGTCAATCGGGTTGTAGCTAGAGCGCGCCAGAAGCACTTCCAGGAACTCGCCCGGCTCTGCGCCTCCTTCCGCTCCACCCGCGCGCGCCGCCGGCCGCCCAGATGCTCTTCCGCTCCCTGCTTCTCTGCGCGGCGCTGGCGCTCAGCAGCGCAGGTGGGTACCGCGTCCCGGCGGGCACGTCTCTCCACGCGCTGTCGCGGAGTTGGCGCTGGGTCCTCTTGCCCCTGGGAGCAAGCTCGGGATCCAGAGACTTATTCCGATAGATCTGGCGGGAGAGCCCAGCTTTGCCGCCTCCCATATACTATTCACTTAACGGTCTGGGGTTCACTTTTCTTTCCGCTAAGCAGGAATACTGGCAGAATTTTCGAGGTGACCTAATACAGGGTCTGAGAAATACATTTGAGACGTTTATGGCACCAACTGTTATTGGACAGGCGTCATTGCTTTAAATACACTGGGTTGTGCTTTCCTGCCCAAGGAAAGCCCAGGTTATTTTTTAAAGAGAGCAGAACATTTTAAAAGTTAGTTGTTTGGGCTTTGAAATGTTTCCTAAGTCTTGATTAATGTACTCGATCCACGCATTTTACTTCTGAAAGTGCTACTTATTTGAGCTTTTTAAAAAATGCTAATTCGAGTATCTGAAAAGTTAGGAAAGAGATTTTCAGTGAGGTGATTTCCCTGGTTGAATATTTTGTTTCCCTGGTTTAGCATAGGAAGTTGGCATTTCTATACAACCATTCTGTGAGACAGATTAAAAAACCATCTTCTCAAGACTACCTGTTTGTTTCTTGAATTTATTATTGTAGAGATGACCCATAGTAAGTCTACAATTTAATATTTTAGGACACTGAAGAATGATTTACTTACTGTCATTTCTTTTATTATAGCAAATCCTTGCTGTTCCAACCCATGTCAAAACCGAGGTGTGTGTATGACTATAGGATTTGACCGGTATAAGTGTGACTGTACCCGAACCGGATTTTATGGCGAAAACTGTTCAACGCGTAAGTTTATCCTTTGGTGCCTTCATTTGGAGTGGGGAGGTAGGCAGATGTCCTTTTATAGATCTATATGTTATAATGGATCCCGTTCATGTCTTCATTTTCTCCTCTCTTACTGCAGCTGAATTAATGACAAGAATAAAATTATTGCTGAAACCTACTCCAAATACAGTGCACTACATACTTACCCACTTCAGGGGTTTCTGGAACATTGTCAATAACATTCCCTTCCTGCGGAACGCAATTATGAAATATGTGTTGACATGTGAGTACAAGTCTCTTTCTAAGGTTTTCAGTTTTCTCAAAGAAAAATGTATTTTATATTACTGTAGATTGGTCAGCCTAATTCAAGACATATTTCTAGCTTTGCCAAAATGACTTGAAATATACCTTTTTATTTACCTGCTACCTTAATGGTCAAAGATATTTGCATCTCAGTCCCATCCAGTTTAAGTTTCGTCTTACTGTCTACTTACAAACCCTGTATACTGACCTTTACTGCCTGTGCCAGTTTGTGAAGGAAGTGTGGTACAGTTGTTTATTGAATGCCCATGGATTACAGGATGGCCCCCATTAAAATCAATGGTTAATTTGGATTTGGATAAGCAAGAAAATAACTTTATTTCTGAAATGAGTGTCATCATAGCCTTCTTTGTTGTACAGTGAGTGGATGGTACTTGAAAAATCAAGATAGCAAGACCAGAACATCCTGTGTAAAATATATGCACCTTATTCAAGGTGGATTTTAATAACCTACTTTCCTTATTTTAAAAAATACACATGGCAGTTCAGCTTTAAAAGTAATTGTTTAAAAATAGTTTCTTGATTAGAATTCAATCTCTGATGCTACTTTACACATTTTTCAATAATAATGAACATGAATATTGATTTGCTTTGCACATCAGAACAAATAAAACGATTCCTATTTTCTTGAAAATTTCAGCCAGATCACATTTGGTTGAGAGCCCACCAACTTACAACATGCACTACGGCTACAAAAGCTGGGAGGCCTTTTCTAACCTCTCCTATTATACCAGAGCTCTTCCTCCAGTACCTGATGACTGTCCAACTCCCATGGGTGTGAAAGGTGAGTGTGACACACTTAGAGAAAAAAGGAAAAAAATGTATTTAATGATAACATAGAGGTCTTCTGAATACATAGATGAGACCAGCATGACAGAGTAGCCCATGTGGCTTGAGATGCCATTTAGCTGAAACAGAAGAACTTCAGGGAGAAAGGAAGGTCAGTTAGGGAAGTTAAGAGAAAGGCAAGCAGACAAAGATGCAGATTTAAGTCCTGCCTTTCTCCATTGGAAAGAAATAAGATTCGATCTTCCTGAGAGAGGTCCTTGCAGAGAAGTTTACAAATAAATGTATTTTTCAAAAGAACCCCCACCTTCCTTCAGAATCCCTCTCATGAAATCAGACTTTTGCCTAAAAGACATTTTGTGGTAGCAGATTTTTGCTCTGCTATGTGACCTAGAAAATAACCACCACAAATAATCATTTATTAGTTAATAGAAGTATAGATTTTTCCTTTCTTCTGAATGTTTATGGAAATTTTTTTTGAATGTGAGAATCTACGTAAACAGTTCCATGAAAGTGAGTGAATATTTTGGTTTAATACCTTAAGGTTTTCAAATTCTTTCAATAAAATTAAATTAATGCTAGTTAAGCAAAATAGACAAAATTATTCAATAAGAACTTGTTCCCCATATCTTAGGTTTTCTTTTATATTCTGATCATGTTCACAACTGTAACTCTCCTAGAGATGAAAAATGTCCTGTTTAAGTAACTGTCTGTTTCCTTGACTATATCAATCAATTCTTATCTAATTTTTTTTCAGGAAAGAAAAAGCTTCCTGATTCCAAAGAAATTGTGGAAAAATTCCTTTTAAGAAGAAAGTTCATCCCTGATCCTCAGGGCACAAATATGATGTTTACATTCTTTGCTCAGCACTTCACCCACCAATTCTTCAAAACAGATCATAAGCGAGGACCAGCTTTCACCAAAGGACTGGGCCATGGGGTAAGAGAGTGAAATAGGAATTATGGCAAATCATAATGAAGTATTGATATTAAAGGCCACATAATACATATTTGTCATAACAAATAATTCACCCTTTTTAAAAAACTATAAAAATTTTAATGGAGTTTCCATTGTAACTAACTGCTTAATTAAACACACACATGCAAGTGTACATATGTTGTTATTATTTGTAATTTGTCTTATATTTTTAGTTTAAAATATTAACATTGCAGAAAGTTGTATATGCAAAAACATTTGTATACAATTATGCTTCTTTAGACATTAAAAAGGGAGGTATTTGCAGCATTATTATTCTTGGATTTCAATGACAGTTTCAATTTATTGATAAGAATTTTATGTCAAAATACATTTTCAGAAGCTTTTTAAAACAAATCCCATATAATTATAGTGAAACATGTGATATTCTTACATGTTCCATATGAAACACTAACAACTTGATACACAAGAGACAGATTTGTACCTTCAGTGGACAAAAACATTAATGTACTATTAATTAATTAATATATTTTATTGAAAATTGTTTGAGGATAAATTATATTATGGACACTCTATAAGAACAACTTCAACAGCAACAAATTGAAATTTTTCCATAATTTTCTAGGTGGACTTAAGTCATGTTTACGGCGAAACTTTGGATAGACAGCATAAACTGCGCCTTTTCAAGGATGGAAAAATGAAATATCAGGTTTGTTCCATTTGAACGTTGAGAATGATGACTCACCACTTACCTATATTTTCAAATCTTAATTATTAATTAAAATTTGTTAATTGGCTCTTGTTTTAGTAATGTTTACTACTGCTCTTATTTTTTAGATAATTGATGGAGAAGTGTATCCTCCCACAGTCAAAGATACTCAGGTCTCAATGATCTACCCACCTCAAGTCCCTGAACATCTCCGCTTTGCTGTGGGGCAGGAGGTCTTTGGCATGGTGCCTGGTCTGATGATGTATGCCACCATTTGGCTGCGGGAACATAACAGAGTATGTGATGTGCTGAAAAAGGAACATCCAGAATGGGGTGATGAGCAGTTATTCCAGACAAGCAGGCTAATACTGATAGGTAAGCAAAAAAGAGAAAATGATTTCAATCAAACCCTCTTCCCCATAGAAAGCTAATTTGTTACATTTGCTATATTTTAAGTATATAATATATACTTATATACTAAGCGGTATATAATAAGCAGTAAGAATTGCATAATATAAATTGAGTCTTTGAGCATGACCGGCCATATAAAGGCCATATAAGTAACCTTTCATTTTGGAAAGGAAAAACTCAAAGTAAAGGAACAGCAGATTTTGCAAAGTTGCATTTCAATTGCTTGGCATTTGGGATCAGAAAGTATTAATGTTCTGAAACCTTTTACTTTGTGCAAATAGGTGAAACTATTAAGATTGTGATTGAAGACTATGTCCAACACTTGAGTGGCTATAACTTCAAGCTTAAATTTGATCCAGAACTGCTTTTCAACCAACAATTCCAATACCAAAACCGCATTGCTGCTGAGTTTAACACCCTCTACCACTGGCATCCCCTTCTGCCTGACGCCTTTCAAATTGACGAAAAAGAGTACAACTATCAACAGTTTCTCTACAACAACTCTATCTTATTAGAACATGGTCTTACCCAGTTTGTTGAATCATTCAGCAGGCAAATTGCTGGCAGGGTAAGCATTGTTATTGAAAAACTACACAAAATAAAAAACTAGTCAGTAACTAGAAATTCTGCCACAGAATGATTTTTATTAAACTTGGCAATAGATTTGTTAAAATGTTTGCTAGTGAAGTTCTTTTCTTGAAATAAGAAGCCTAATTTTTTTGAAAAGTCTTAACTTTGTGTGCAGTTATCAAATAGCAATATGTAGCCATACCTTAATGATTTATATATATATTTAAACTTGCTATAATTTTATAGACTAGAAATGTCATAGATTATAAAAATAGATATAGAATAGCTATCGATAGAATAGTATTCTGCAAGTCTCAACTGGTGCAGTTACCTATGTTGTAGCCACTGAATGCTTTAAAATAAAATTGTCATGATGCCTGAAGATTGTGTGTGTGTGACAATTTAATTTGTTTCTCACAGGTTGCTGGTGGTAGGAATCTTTCACCTGCAGTACAGAAAGTAGCACAGGCCTCAATTGACCAGAGCAGACAGATGAAATACCAGTCTTTTAATGAGTATCGCAAGCGCTTTTTGCTACAGCCCTACAAATCCTTTGAAGAACTCACAGGTGAGAATCAGTGTCTAAACTTAAGGGAATCAGGGTAAAATGGAAATAACAGGAAAATTGAAAGCCAATTGAATGAAGGGGTAAAACTTTCTTTACTTTGTAAAGTTTTACACTGGTTGTCTCTCTGTCACTTTCATAGGTGAGAAGGAAATGGCTGCGGAGTTAGAAGCAGCCTATGGTGATATCGATGCTATGGAACTGTATCCTGCTCTTCTGGTAGAAAAGCCACGTCCAGATGCCATCTTTGGTGAGACCATGGTAGAACTTGGAGCACCATTCTCTTTGAAAGGACTTATGGGTAATCCTATTTGCTCTCCTGAGTACTGGAAGCCTAGTACTTTTGGTGGGGAAGTAGGTTTTAAGATCATCAACACTGCCTCAATCCAGTCTCTCATCTGCTATAATGTGAAGGGCTGTCCTTTTACCTCATTCAGTGTTCAAGATCCACAGCTGACCAAAACAGTCACCATTAATGCAAGTTCTTCTCACTCTGGACTAGATGACATCAACCCCACCGTACTACTAAAAGAACGTTCAACTGAACTATAGAAGTCTATTGGTCATATTTATTTATTTATATGAACTATTTCTGTTGATTTAATTATTTAATATTTATATTAAACTCCTTATGTTAATATCTTCTGTTAAGGAGGAAAGAGTCATACTTGTAAAGAGCGTTGTGACACTATTTGCAGACAGATTTTCTTCAAATTTAGAGGAAAAGAGCCTTTGTTCTTTTCTATGAACCAATGAGAAGTTGGTTGAGAAACCAGTGAGTTTGATTATCTTTTTACTTGAATTTCAACTTTTGTGATGTATAATAAGAACAACGACAAAGATGTTTGGATGTTTTAAATGCTGTTAAAACATTTAAATGTTTAAATGCTGTTACATGGTTTAAATGCTGTTACATGGTTTAAATGCTGTTACATGGTTTAAATGCTGTTACAGAATGGCAAAATGCTGCAAGTTTCTTTCTACATTGTTGATATATTCCAGTGTATCTTCCATGATACATTAGAAACAACTACCTGCATTGTGCTCTTTTTACTTTTTTCTTTCAATCATTTTGTGAAGAAAAACTCTTTTCTGACCAGTATACTTTTACTTTTATTTCCAGAATTCAAGATCTGAGTTCCTCTTTCTTTATAACTGTCTATATTTTCTTACCTGAACTTCTCTAAATGTTCAGGAAAACCTCAGCTCAGGACTACTGTTTAGCTTCTCTTCAAAGGTTGACAGTAAGGCAGTGATGTTCCTAGTCTCGTGAACATCTTTCTTGATGAAAAACAAAACTGAACAATTCATGAATTGTCCCCATGAGGATACTGCTTTTTCTTTTCCACATCTCAATGTCAGCTGACATTTTTCTGGTACTGTATATTACTTAATTTATTGAGATTATTTATTAGGACATTATTGTTACAGACTGGGCTTAGCCAGTAATCACATTTTTTTTTTTTTTTTGCATTATGTCAGAATTATTTGTTCTGACATGTTACTTTCTCTGGGATTCCGATGAATTTTCTTCATTGGGATAAACTCTGAATTATGTAAACTCCAAGAGAAATGATTGGACAAAGATTAGTGACTAAATGTTCAATAATCCAACTCTGGCATATTGAGATATAGAAAGTTAGAATTTATGTCTTTTTTTTTTTTAGAATTTATGTCTTTAAAGGACATAAGAGAACATTGTGTCCCACTAGTCCGGGACACACCATAAACACTATAAGACCACTTACGCATTTTTGAAAGACCTGTGGATGGTCTATTACTTAATTCAACCATAACATTGAGGATATATTCTCTGCAAAGCATTTGGATTTTTATATTTTTAAATCAAGTGCTAATTACGGATAGCATCAGTTGTATCAATGGTTGAAAGAGCATGTCTCTTACAGGAGAAATTGAAATTTCTTTGAATAGAAATAACTCAGGGGATTTTTTTCTTTAAGGTTTTTTGGTTTAAAAGGTTTTAAGATTAAGGAAAGAAACAGTATTAGAAGGACTTATATAAAAAAACTATTGATTTAAAAAGAATGATTTGTTATTAGATTTATCCTACTACTGGACCTGGGAATTTGGAATGTATATGTGAATCTTTTGCTGCCTCACATAATTGTGTATTTAAATTAACTTATGTAAAATACAATGGTTGGAACAAATGTCTTTATTTTTATACTATTTAAAATCAAAGCAAAATCTCCTCTAAAATAAATTTTCACTGTTGTTAATATATTTTTTGTCATATGAGATATGATTTCTCTAAAGGATCATACTTCAATTGTCTTATAGTCACTCATTTATTCAAAACTACACTGCCCTTAATGAAATGGCTCTCCCCTCAGTCATATGAAGGCTTGCTAGGGTCACTATAGTCACTTATTAACTATAAAGCTATACTGGAAAACGTGATTTGTGCAATAAGCGCAACAAACTTATTTTCACAGTCTATAAGGGGGATTGAAGTACACTAAAGCCAGGGAACTAGGCAAGAATTATGAAGTAAGTGCACAATTATAAAGGAAATTCAAAGAAGGAGAGATTATATATTATTTTGGGCAAATCATCAATATCTATCTCATTGATAGGTTATCAATAGCAGTGTCAAGAGTTCCCTGCTTTTGATATATTCTGGGTAATTTTAGAGTCCACGTGGATCTCACATTTAAAGTTCTGCTTGGCCTCTCTCCCTTGGTCTTCCCCAATCCAGTGATGGCCTCTGCTGCTAAATTTTCCATGATAATACATGTCTTTATCTCACCATCATTAATTACTGTACCACTTCCAAGATCTTGACTTCAAGCGTCATCTTTATTTCTAACAGAGCATCCCTCGCAGTTTCACTAGTCCTTTGATTCATACACTTCATCACTTCTCTACCATCACCCATTTTACCTGTACATTTCCTTCCTAGTTCAGTTTCCATTGCCCATCATTATAATCACTCTCCTATTCCCTGTCTAATCTCCTACTATTGTGCTTAACAGCTTAATCAATTTCAGCCATCCTCCTAATCTGTTTATTTGACTTCTCACTGAGTAGTATTTAATACAGATGTGCATACTTTCTTTAATGAAAGATTTTCTATTCTTGGTTTCATGATTTAAATTTTCTCTGATGAAAGTCTTCTCCAACCATCTAAACTAAAATGACTACTGAAGTTGATTCATTTTCTTTGTGGCATTCATTTACATCCACAATTTTCTTGATTTGTATGTTTACCTGTTTGTTACTATATTCCTTGTTAGAATTTCATGTCTATGAAAGCAAGGAACTTATTTATGTTGTTCACTGTGCCTGACACTTAAAAGTATTAAAAATATGGTGTAGAGCTTCCCTGGTGGTGCAACGGGTCATGTCTCAGTACTGTGAAGCTATCATTAGCCACTGCAGCATGAGTTTGATCCCCAGGCAGGGAGCTGACACACATGGCTCAGCAGACTTGTCCTGTCTTGCCTGCTGCTCCCCTTAGCAGTGTAATTCAGTAGACCCTCCTGTTCTGTTCCCTAGCCTGTCTCTGGGGAACACTTTCACCCCTCCCCCCATCCTCCACACCTCTAGCCTACACCCTAGCTCTTGAATGCATCAATAAATAAAATAAATCTTTAAATTTTTTTAAAAATAAATAAAAATATTGTATAAATGAATGTGAATAGGCTTCATGAAAGAAGTAGAATATATTGTGATGCTTGAAGGAAGAGTTAGATCTTAAAAAGAGGAAATATTCATTCTGGAAAATAGTCACTTCTTTTTAAAACTAAAATTCAATTAGTATATGTATTGGCTTTCTATTGATGCTATAAAAATTATCATGAAGTTAAAAACCTAAAAAAAATGTTATTATCTATAGTTCTGAAAGAAAGTACTGGAAGCAAAAAATAGAACAAATGACAGAAAAAAGAATTGAAAAAGTAAAAACAATATAAAATTCTGTGGGACAATTTAAAGAGAAATAATATTTATATAATACAGATCCTAAAAAAAGAAGAAACGAATTCTACCAAACATTCAGAAATGAATTAGTGCCTATCCTTCACAAACTCTTTCAAAAAATTGAGAAGGAAGGGATAATACCAAACACATTCTTTGAAGTCAACATTACACTAATACCAAAACCAAACAAGAACACAAAAAAAGTAAACTACAGGCCAATAACGCTAATGAACACTGATGCAAAAATCCTCAATAAAATTTTAGCTATCAGAATCCAACCATGTATCCATAAGAAAATTCGCCATGACCAAGTAGGATTTATTCCAGGAACACAAGGATGGGTCAACATCTGAAAATCAATCAATGTAATCCAACACATCAACAAAAAGAAATATAAAACCATATGATGCTATCAATAGATGCTGAGAAAGCTTTCGACAAAGTACAACATCCATTTATGATAAAGGAGAGGAGTCATTAGGGTCAAAATAAGGAGGGTGGGAATTGTATGGGGAATATAACCAAAATGAAAATGCATACATTGTGCAAAAATGAAAAATGATGTAAGAATTATATAAAATAAAATAAAAAATATAGGGCCTCCCTGGTGGCGCAGCGGTTCAGCGCTGGGTTGCAAAGCTGCCTACAGCCTCTGCAGTGCCGGTGAAAATCCCGGCTGCTCCCCGGCCACCAGAGGAGGGTCCCACATGGCGCGCAGACCTCTCCTGCTGCCCGCTGCTCCCCTCAGCAGTGTGCTTCGGTCCTTCTGCCTGCTCTGCTCCCCACTCTGGCTCTGGTGAATTCTCTCACCCTCCCACACTTCTGACTGTACCCAGTGCTTGTATAAATAAATAAATAAATCTTTTAAAAAAAAAAAAAATAAATAAAAATTAAAAATTAAAAATTAAAAAAATAAAGACAAGCTTCAGCCATAAAAAATAAATGATTGAATAGACACAGACTGAATGGGAGCAATATTTACACAATATATAACTGATCAGGGATTAATGTCAAATATACAACAAAATCTCATGCAATTTAACAAAAATAAAAATCTGAACACATTAATAAATGGGCAGCAGATATGAACAGAAAATTCACCAAAGAGCATATCCAGAATGCAAAAAGATGTTAAGATTAGGGCATATACATCTTTTGACAGTCATTATTTGTTTACTGCATTGTCAACTCAGAAATTACACTCTTGAGAATTTATCCTAGGAGAATAAAAACCTATATTCATGAAAAAAATGTACATGAATATTCATAGAAAACATATTTATAGTAGCCCCAAACTGAAAATAATCCAATGTCCTTCAATAGATTAATGGTTAAAACAAACAAACAAATGGCAAAGCAATTCCACTCCTAGGTAGCTACTCAAAGAACACAAAAACACTATTTTGAAAGAAAATTTGTTTCTGTGTTTATTGTAGCACCATTTATAATATCCAAGATACGGAAATAGCCTAAATACCCCAAAACATATGGCTGGATCAAGAAGATGTGTTGCAGGAAGTTTGCCCACGCCAGGCCCCTTCTGGCCTGCAGTCCAAACCCAGAGGGGGAGCGGGAACCCACCACCAGGGCAGACCGGGCATGCAGGGAGTGTGTCCTGCATCACCATTTTAGAATAGGAACATTTCTTCAGTAAAAACTGCTTGAAACCGGCAGATGGCTCCTAGAGGAACCAGAGGTGAGTTGGGAAGTTCTCCCAAGATGCCGGCCAATACAAGCAACATAGTATCCCAATGCATATGGCAAATTAGAAAACAGACAGTAGGGAGTAGAAAAACCACATGCAACCCAGCAACTCCTCAGGAAAAAAGCATGCCACAAAAAGAAAACCACCTACCAGATTGCAACGACAGTAACTTGGAAGAACTTCTGAGCCTTCCAGAAAGAGAATTTAAAATTGCCGTGATTAAAAAACTGACAGAAGTCATAAAGGAAAGCAATGATAAGGGAAAAATAATTAATGACCAGAAGAATGAAATTGAGTCCCTAAAGAGGGAAGTAAAAGAAATGCAGGAGATCAAAGAATTAATGGAGGCGCTAAAGAACTCTGGGAAAAGCAATGAAAGCAGAATAGATGAAATGGAAGAATGAATAAGTACTCTTGAAGACACAGAAATAAAAAGAACCAAAACAGAAAAGGAAAGAGAAGTACGAAGGAAAAAGACCGAAGAAAGACTTCAGGAACTATCTGAATCCATGAGGAAAGGAAATATAAGACTTATTGGAATCCCAGAAGGAGGGGAGAGACATGTAGGAACAGAGAAAATATTCAAGGAGATAATTGAAGAGAACTTCCCAAACATGAAGGAGCTGAAAATTGATATACAAGAAACAAGAAGAACACCAAACTTCCACAACGAAAGGAAAAATACAGCAAGACACATAATAGTAAAGCTCCCAAGAATCCAGGAAAAGGAAAAAATAATGATGCTGACAAGAGGGAAGAAACAGATAACATTCAAAGGAAAACCAATCAGACTGACATCAGACTTCTCTGAAGAAACACTACGGGCAAGGAGAGAGTGTAGGGACATAGTCAACAGACTCTGAGAAAACAGACGCCAACCAAGAATACTCTATCCCACAGAGCTCTCCTTCCTCTATGAAGAAAGAATAAGGACCTTCCCAGACAAACAGAAACTCTGGAATTTCATTACGACTAAACCCCCACTCCAAAAAATACTACAAGGAGTCCTAAAGCCAGAACCTCAGAGGAACGAATAACAGTGAAAGAAGGCCAAAAAAAAAAAGTTATTAAAAGAATAAACAAATAAAATCAAAGGAAAGACAAACACAATGGCAAATACAGATGCTAACATATCAATATTAACTCTAAATATAAATGGACTAAACTCTTAACAAAAAGACACAGAGTGGCAGACTGGATTAAGAAACAAAACCCAACCTTTTGCTGTCTCCAGGAAACATATTTAGCTACAAAAGATAAAAATAGACTCAAAGTTAAAGGATGGAAAACAATTCTACAAACAAATGGACCAAAAAAGAAAGCAGGAACAGCTATACTTATATCAGATAAAACAGATTTCAAACTCAAAAAGATAAAAAGAGACCCCAATGGTCACTACATTATAATCAAGGGGACAATACTTCAAGAAGAAATAACACTCATTAACATATATTCACCAAAGGAAGGATCACCAAAATATATCAGACAACTATTGTCATCTCTGAAAACAGACATCAGAGAAAACATATACGTAGTGGAAGACTTCAACACACCACTATCAA